TAAAATTGTGTTAAAAAAATATTGACTTTATTTGATTTTGATTGTTAAAAATAAGTAACAATTGATAGAACAATTAACATTTATTACTTAATTTATTGCAATCAATTTATATATTAATATTCTCAATCATCATAACTATCTATTAAAAAAAAAACTACAAATATTAATCAAATAAAATGCAATTTTAGTCACCTTAACAAATGAGTTGCTGGCAATAACCACACTTGATTATGCCACTAACGAGTTAGTTGTAAATGTGCGAAACTTAATGCTACCAAGTCAAAATTCATAAATCCATGAACCAAACCAAAATACCATGCCTTTATGATCATCCTAAACAGATGTGCAAATTTGATTCAAAGTAATGCATATAGACATAAGTTATTTAATTTTTGCTCTTAAAGTGTTCTCATAAACAAAGGGTATTCTCATAAACCAGGTCATCGGCAAGCCCCATTTTCATTTGACAAGAACATGGTTTAAAGTAGTTTAATGGCATGCAAATGGCTCTAGAATGATGAGATGCTCGACAATAGGACAAACCATAAGCTCCCAATCATGCAAAAATGGATCACTAGAACATTAAATAATGACCATAAAGCGTAAACCTGTACCAATAAACAATTAAACCAACAAAAGAATTATTTATAAACGTAAAAACAGATGAAAATCTATATATTAACTAATATAATGTATTGTCACTTTCAGCGATAATTTGAAGAAAATAACTATCAAAGTACATCATGTGATAAGGATATAACCGAAAAGGCAAATGGTACGTCTTAAGTTAAACTGATTAACCTAACAATTTCTATTTATTTTTTAGGGCAGTACTAATAAAAAAACATGACATAACACCATATTTTAAGATAAAAACTCATAATTCGAAGCAAAACATGTCAGGATTGACTTGCAAAAAGACTAAAACCACCCAATAGAACCATCGAATTAACAAAAAAGAGTTTAGGGAACAAAGGGGATGAATCTCAGCAGACTCTTCAATTCAAACAGGACAACAAGATCGTTACACGGAGAAAATAACAATGGGAACCCAAATGTTGGGTCAGCCCGTGATCCCATTTTTTTCAACTTATTCTCCCACTGAAACTACAAGACAGGAACGGGTAAACCATGAAATCCTTAAAAGTCTCATCAAGGACAGGATTTAAACACAAAGTATAAACTCATACCCTCGAATCAGATCAACAACCATGAACTTCTAAGTGCAAAAACAGGTTAAAACTTACTTTTGAAAACTTACTTTGTTTGTTTGTTTGTTTTGTTTGTTTGTTTTGAAAACTTACTTTGTTTTGAAAACTTACTAAATAAGTCAGGTTTTGTTTTTAATTTTGTTGTTGGTTTTCAATTTTGGTTGCCATTGATTGCTAAATTTTTGGCAACAAAAAAATAAAAAGAAATGAAAGTGTTATTAAATGAACACTTAAATTTTTTATTTATAATTTTATTTTTCAGTA